CTTGCCTCTCTACAACATGTGTCACTGTTGTTGTCAGCAGTGGTTGCAGCAAGGAAGAGTAGAGGCAGGATTTAATCACAGCAGTATATTTATTAAATCAAAAAACTAACAAACCTATACCTAACCAGTTATCAGACAATGAACAACAGAAAGTGAGGAGAAAAACAAGGCACAGGTGGGGACTAATCAATCAACTAATGAGTCACTATTACTGCATCCCATTTTGCTACTACCCCTGCCTGCTCCAAAGATACCAGCATGTCTTTTTTTCCGTTTAGAATCAAAAGTGCAGATCCGTGTACACTCAAACGACTAATATTGCCCTCAACCCATTGCACATTGGACGAGGATTCGATAAAACATACAAACACGAATAAAAAGCTAGTGGTGCTCACTGCAGAACCAGCAGACATCCATGTCCATCTCTGTGGATCTAATGGGTGAATGGATAAAGTAAGAGACAACCTTTGCAATTCAGAGGCCTGTTTCAAACAACAGTTGGAGCAAAAGCTCTGACAAGTTTATCCTTATCCAGCGATCTCTTAACGTTGTGTTCAGTTGACATCAAGTGCGGACAGTTTTTCTAGCACCATGGTGGACCGCAGGCATGATTTTATCGTTTTTCGTATTTTATCGTATTTTGATGGTCCCTTTTTTCCTTTTGACTATAAGTAGTGTTGCACCTACATGTCTGCTGTAGAGTATTGATATGTGTCTACTAATACTCTAACTGTCATTAGAGTATTAGTAGGGTTAGAATAAATTGACATGTAGTTCCAAAGTTAGTCAGAATGTCTGTTGGGGGACCATGAAGCAGACAGTCTAACTGGCACAAGCTTGATGTGCAAGACTGATGGTTAAACAAAGAGGTTTAGATTAAGGGGTTTGAGTGATTTAATAATGTTACGTGCCTCCCGGTCTAGGGGTCAAGGAGACAGTAACAATGAAATTACAGTTTGACAATTAAGAACTCTCCTCTCCTGTCCCAGCACTCCACAAAAATCACAGATTTTTGAAACACTCACTTTATTTGGATTAGTCCAAAGTACAAAAAAGGAAAGCATCAATAGATTTCACCTGGATAATAATGCCTTTTATTTCTAAATTTTGACAGTAATATTTTTGAAGTAAAAGTCATCCCATTATGAGTTCTCCCCAGGAAATATTATGAAACAATAAAAGGATGCAGTTCATGACCCCTTTAACTTTTATATGCATAATTTTGCAAACACATGAGGAGAGTTCTCAAAATTAAATTGATTATGATTTTAACTGCACCAAGATTAATGACAGGGCAGTTTAAATGGTGACAAGATGCACGTAACGGTTCTTCAGCGGTTCTTCAGGGGTTCTTTGCGGTGGTCATGGTGCTATATAGCACCACTGCCATTTAAAGAACCAGTTAAGCCCAGTTTGGTTTTTCAGCGGTTCTTCGGTGGTTCTCTAGGGTGGTTAACGTGCTCTATGGCACCTCTTATGGTTCTACATAGCACCATATGACAAAGTTAAGAGCTATATGGCACTTAAAGTGGTTCCCCTATGATTACAAGCCAATGAACCACTTTTAGTGCTATTCAGCACCATTTTTTAGAGTGTAGATGACACAGCTGTCTTTTTAAGATGCAATTATGACAAAGTTATAATGTCCCAAAGCTTGCCTATATAATCTTTCTGCTACACACTGAAAATGATGTACTTTTAGGGCATATAGTATATGCATTATACTTAAGTTGGGAAATTCAGGGCACAGCATGAGACGACAAATGTAAACATACTTAGAATCCATGACAACGAAGGAAACAGAAAAAGAAGAACAAAAGAAGAAGGAAACAATAAGAAATAATCGAGAAGTCCTTGAAACACAAAACAGAAACTACACTCTAACCATGTTGAGTTGTTTTAATCCATGTTTCGGTCAAATATGGACAAACCTAACAGTTGGGTTTAAAAAATAAACAAAAATTTAAGCCAGCGGTTGGGTTTGTATTTGACCCAAACATTGGTTAAAACAACCCAGCATGCATTTTTTAGAGCATGGACTACACGTTACAGTTGAGAGACTAAAATGGAGACTTAAAGCTTTGTAAAGACATAACTCTCACGTGTGTGTAGCAAGTATTTGCTGACTTAAAGATCAGTTTATGTCGTGTTTCATGAACTTCAAATTGAGAGAGAAGGGAAAACTCGCATCGTTTATTTTCTTTATTTTACGAAAAACACAACATTTAGTTTTTAATATGAGTGTACACAAATAAAAGAAGACATTTAACAGTTTTGAATGATGTGTAACACTTATATGTAAGATCAAAATCAACAGAGTAATTTGAGTCTCTTTTGCACTAAGGAAAAAAGTGAGCTGGTATCGACGCCGATACCTCGGACCCCAGAGGGTTAAAGAAATGGTGTTTTTTTTTTTTTTTTTTTTTTTTAGTGTATTACATCATGCTACCACTGAGAATCGCTCGATTACGGTTCTACATGTGGAAGATTATCATGATAAAACAGCGGTGTGACAGTTTTGAAAAGCAGAGTGCACCATTGCATCAAAACTTTATTGAAAATTGATACAATACCCCATTCACAAATAATTAACAATTCATGTCAGTGTCATACAGTGATCACCTATTGCAAATAAATATTTTATGCGACCTCCTCTACATGATGGTAAAGGCTTTGAATTTATTTTAAACAGACAACGGTTTCAAACATGCTCTATTATTGTTGCCTTCTAGGCGTTTCACTGAAGAATACAGTAAATATCAATATGCTTTGGGATACTAGTTTTTGCATGATCTAAACCTGTCTCTGTGAATGCTTTAACTTTTATTTTTAAACAGATCTATCCCCTAGTGTTTCTATCTAAATATAACCCAGGCTTTAAAAAGAGATGTCGTTTTACTGTAAAACAGTTTTCTGCAAATACAGTTTGATATCTCGTAATGATGTTCCCAGAATGCATCACACGTACGTATGTATATATTTTTTCTTAAAATATAAGGTGTCAGTGCCTGTGTTTGTTTTTATCACATTTATTTTTTTTTTCTATTCAGGTTCGTCAACTATACAGGACTAGAGAAATCTAAACTGTTTCACAAAGCAGAAAGATTATGATAGGGAGGGTGTGTGTGTGTTGGTGGCTCTCTGTGATTGGGATGGGCTGTGCTGCTTCCGTTTCACTCGTCACATCATGAAAATGAGCACACACAGGCATTTGAACGTGACTGGAATCACCAAATCATCACTTTTTCCACACAAAAACCACAGGGGAATAATCAGGGCATTTCTGTTCTGAAAGGATTCGTTGTATGTATTTATATATATTTTTTTCATATTGTAACAATCAATTTTAAACCGTAACATCCACATCCATTCAGACTAAGAAGTGTTTGTTATAGCAATGTTTAGGTCGTACAATCACGATACAGCTGAACCGTGCTCAATATTTTCTTAAGAGTTGGATTTCAGGAAGAATTTTCATCGCTTTACCTCTCTTGAATATACTTTGTATATTAACTGTAGCATTTTTTGTTTATTTTGTGATTTCACAGTGTTATGTTTTGTAATTATAATCATTTACAGATGTCAGAGAAGTCTTTCCGAAGATTTATGTGAGGAACTGTAATCCTTTGTTTTTCTGTCACCCCTATATTATTAGGAAAACGTATTTCATATTGTGTAAAAAGACCTTATGATCACTTAAATTTCATGAATGTGGGATGCCAACCAGCTGTGTTTACAGATCACGTCTCAATGTCTATTTTAAGAAAAGCTACTGTATATTCAAAACATATGTTTACAGTGGCTGTGAAAGCTAAATAGGAAGGAGAGAAAGGCCTCATACTCCTATATGAGAAGCCAAAACAGTACCAAAGTGCATAATAGTGGCATTGCCCATCCAGTCTAACTTCACATCCTTTTCAGGAGATTTAAACATTAGCAGATCAAAAAGAGAATTTGTCTGGACGAAAGAAGAGAGACGTGATCGGAAAGTCATATGTTCTTACACAGATATTTGGCTATTTTTTGAATCCCCAAAATGTGCAATCTCTCCATACTCTTTTATCAGGCAGATAAATCCTAGGCCGGCTCCATCTGGGACTGCTTTGTGTGGCATTTGGTGTGGCATGCCTGCCATCTGCGCTTACATTGTTTCAGGCACTGGTGGCATGATAGGAAAGGCTGTGAGCAGGGTCAGAGCAGACAGTCTGGCGGCCCGTTTGAATAGGCAAACACAACCTAGAGAAACTTTTGTGGAGACCAGTTCTAATGAATGACTACATGCTGTTACTGTTACATAAATGGTCTGAATTACGCCATCTTCACATTTCGGCCGCCTCAGATCGGCCAGTTGAGCCCCAGGCTGAAAGAAGGGGCAGTGGGGCTCATCTGTTGACGTGGACGGCCATGAAAAGGGGCAGATCCTATGCAGTCTGAACAGATTAGCTTTTATGTGGTGGACTATTTTGTTTTATCTCATTCTGTGCCAGTGACATCCTATCTATAATGTGAGATTATTCAGTGGGCGATTTTGAAAAACAAAAACAGCAGCAGCTATGCAGCCAGTTGACTGAGCAAGTGTCCTCTGCATTGGTGGAATTAATCAAACAGTACAAACACACAAGTGGGCCTGTTCAGCTGTTCAGCAGGGATGGTGGGAAGAGTCGGGCCACCCCCAGCCTTTACTGAGAACATCCATTATGACCGTCTGCTGGCAACATCATCTAGCCTAACTCGCATTCTCTGAAACCTGCGGCTGGAATCTCATGGTGAAGCTCTGTGAATTGTTCGTGCTGATGAGTGTTGCCTCATTATAATGTGACCATGTTTACATACACATTTTGTGATTAAAGGGACATTTTATGGTCCATATTCTAGTTAAAAGTTTATATGCAAGAGCAACACAGAGCATGAATTACAATGTTACAAATGTAAATTATGTTTCTTTGTTGAAATGTTATATATGTGTGTGTGTGTGTGTGTGTGTGTGTTTGTGTGTGTGTGTGTGTGTGTTCTGGTAATCATCACTTTGTGGGGACAAGAATCTGTTTACACAGTCACGTAATGGGGACCTCTTGCGTTGTGGGGACCAAAAATCAGGTCCCCATAAGGTTAACCCATTTAATTGGATAGAGGAACTATTCTGAAGGTTCTGGGCGGAGTTTTAGCATTGGCCCATAACACATGATTATCAGGTATTGTGCGTGTGTGTAGCGGGAGCTCTGCTGCGCCCCCAAACATTTTTGGCTGGTAATGCACTCACTTCTCCACACACACATTTTCCAATTATGGGTGGGTACCGCCCACTTCCGGGTCCTCGTTAGGAAGGAGTTCGACAGCAACTTGAAAATACAAGTATTAAATTGATAACGTTACTTCACACGGAGAACAAAGAAGAAGATTAACGTTATTTACTGGAGATGCCAACGATCTGAACTTCTGCCGAGGATAAAAGTGAAGCTTAAGGTAAGCACACATAATAAATCAATTAGGTTAATTAGATTAGTCTGCGGGCTAGCTAGTTAGTGCTAATTGTTGAGGCTAACGCAGTTAAGTGTGGCCTTACATGTTTCTCTGTTTTTCCAATTAGCGATCACATAATCATGCAATTTCATGTTAAGGACTTAATTTTAACTGAAAAGTGTTGTGTAGTCTGACTGATTGCTAATGGATTCGGTTTTTAAGGTTGTTTTTGTCTAGTTTGCGCTAGTGCTGGACGGTGGCTTATTTTATATTTTAAATTGAAGATATCTTACATGTAACGTTAACACTTATGTTTGACTGATCAATAATTGTTTTTACATTTAAATTAACTCTATAGGCAGCATATACAAGCCACAGATCTTGACCAAAGTGCTTAACAGAGAAATTAAGTTGGCTAAAATAAAACAAAAACTAAAATAGAAAGTAGCTTTAAGAATAAACTTAATTTTAATTATGACGGTAGTTAAAATAAACTGGGGTTTGTATGGTGAGCTCGTTCAAAAGAGTAACTTGGTTAGGTTAAGGACCAAATGAATAGTTAAATAATTGCCAAGGCTAATGTTACCTGGAATAAAATAGAAGATGGTGAGTTGATGCTCTCAAGGCTAGCATTGTTGTGCCAGTCAATAAATCTAATATTATTTTATAGAGTTCATATGTCTTGTCTTACACTGATGCATACAATATCATTGTAATGCTGTAACATTACAATACCATTTTTATCTACTTCTTGAACATATTAGTTGAATTCTGCGTATCTTCATTTTCAGTGTAATTACTTTCACATGTTTTTATTTTTCATCAGTTTGAAATGCCACCACGAATCAGCCCCCTTAAGGATGCCATGCATCATGTTGTTTCAAAAACTGACAAAACATTCAAATTAGATGTGAAGTATATCAGTGCAGTGAAAGGTAAGGTGGTGTGATTTTTATCATGAAATATTTACCAAGATATGCATTTCCTAACCATAATCTTATGAGCATGTAATGCAAAACTCCTGGGTATATTTAATCAGACCCCTGGTTGCAGCTTATTTTAAATCAGCTGCCAACTATTGATGACTTTTTTAGTGTATTTGGTATCCTTTATCTATAAGATTTTATTAATTTAAAATTTATTTTTTTCTGTATTTGCAGGACGTGGTCTATTTGCAAAGGCTGCCTTTTGCAAAGGTGATTTTGTTGTTGAGTACAGGGGAGATATGATAAATGAAGCAGAACTTCAGAGGAGAAGAAAACGTTACCACGCATCCTGTGCTGCATTTATGTTTGATTTCAAGTGGCGAGGGAAAACATGGTGGTAAGAAGTCAAGTTGTACCAAAGCTATATAAAAAGATAGTAAAAATACATTGATTTGTGGTGGTTTAATTGTATTACTTGTAATCATCCTTTTCTCATGGTTTCATATTTAAGTATTGACGCGTCAAGGGAAGATGGATCGTATGGGCGTATCGCTAATGATTGCCACAATCATCCAAATTGTAAGATGAAAAAAATTGACGTCAATGGAAAGCCTCACCTTTGTCTGTTTGCCCTGAATGACATTAAAGAAGGAGAAGAAATTGCCTATGATTATGGGGGAGAAGACTACCCATGGAGAACACAAGTATGTTGTTAAGCACACTGTGTACAAAATAGGTCATATTTTTGCAACATGTCAACAAATTTGTTGGTTGAATAGATTAGAATTTAAATCTATTAGAAATCTATGAATCAAATTTGTCTGTTCCAATAAATTATATCCAAATCCCCAAATCAACTCTCCTCAACAGGTGAGTTTAGGTGAATCATTGTGAATGTTGTCTCTTACAGATGACCAGCGTTGCTGTTAAAACCAGCACAGTGAATGACTCTGATCCTTCTCTCCAGTCAGTGACTCAGATGGATGAAGAATCTGCTCAAATCAACTCTCCTCAACCGGTGAGTTCACATTCATTAGTAAAGATTTAGGTTTTTTGTCATGGTTTAGTGATTTGTAAGCATATTTTGATGAGTATCTGGTGTAAACTAGTACATTAAACTGTTTTACGACATGTGCCCAGTAGATCAGTTGTAGTGCAGTATTTAGGGCCACTTTTATCCTTCACGGGATTTTTTTTCTGGGTTAATTGTTGCATTGAAATGGACACTCACGACGTCCCCACAACACACTTTTGGTCAGTATTTGAGTTCACACCCGTGTTTTGAATTTGATGAAACTGGTCCCCATAAGGAACTATAACGTTGTGTGTGTAAAGTCCCCATGAGGCTGGTTTTAATCCAGATGTGTGTGTGTGTGAGCGCGCACTAGAGTTAGACTGGACAGGAAATATGTTATAGATGTAGTTGATTTCATTTTACATTCTCAAATCATGTGGTATCTGCTTCCGATTTCTCTCATCTTTTTCCATTTTCTAAAATCTTGTCATTGTGAATGTTGTCTCTTACAGATGACCAGCGTTGCTGTTAAAACCAGCACAGTGAATGACTCTGATCCTTCTCTCCAGTCAGTGACTCAGATGGATGAAGAATCTGCTCAAATCAACTCTCCTCAACCGGTGAGTTCACATTCATTAGTAAAGATTTAGGTTTTTTGTCACGGTTTAGTGATTTGTAAGCATATTTTGATGAGTATCTGGTGTAAACTAGTACATTAAACTGTTTTACGACATGTGCCCAGTAGATCAGTTGTAGTGCAGTATTTAGGGCCACTTTTATCCTTCACGGGATTTTTTTTCTGGGTTAATTGTTGCATTGAAATGGACACTCACGACGTCCCCACAACACACTTTTGGTCAGTATTTGAGTTCACACCCGTGTTTTGAATTTGATGAAACTGGTCCCCATAAGGAACTATAACGTTGTGTGTGTAAAGTCCCCATGAGGCTGGTTTTAATCCAGATGTGTGTGTGAGCGCACACAGAGTTAGACTGGACAGGAAATATGTTTAGATGTAGTTGATTTCGTTTTACATTCTCAAATCATGTGGTATCTGCTTCAGATTTCTCTTGTCTTTTTCCATTTTCTAAAATCTTGTCATTGTGAATGTTGTCTCTTACAGATGACCAGCGTTGCTGTTAAAACCAGCACAGTGAATGACTCTGATCCTTCTCTCCAGTCAGTGACTCAGATGGATGAAGAATCTGCTCAAATCAACTCTCCTCAACAGGTGAGTTCACATTCATTAGTAAAGATTTAGGTTTTTTGTCACGGTTTAGTGATTTGTAAGCATATTTTGATGAGTATCTGGTGTAAACTAGTACATTAAACTGTTTTACGACATGTGCTCAGTAGATCAGTTGTAGTGCAGTATTTAGGGCCACTTTTATCCTTCACGGGATTTTTTTTCTGGGTTAATTGTTGCATTGAAATGGACACTCACGACGTCCCCACAACACACTTTTGGTCAGTATTTGAGTTCACACCCGTGTTTTGAATTTGATGAAACTGGTCCCCGTAAGGAACTATAACGTTGTGTGTGTAAAGTCCCCATGAGGCTGGTTTTAATCCAGATGTAGATCAAGATGTAATCCAGATGATCAAGCTTTGCTGGACAGGAATATATATATATATATATATATATATATATATATATTATATAATTTTTGTTTTCTTGCGCTTTTTATTTTTACATGTCAAATACTAAAATGTTGTTTACACTGTTTTTCTTTTCTTTTTACAGATTGTGATACAACACCGAAATGAAAATGACATTTTTGTACCAAGACTGAGACGGACTAAAAGTATTGTGGTAAGTCCTCAAGTTGCAACAAGAGACTCAATTGCTATGTTTACATGCACACGTTGGAGTTTTTCCCTCTTTTGCTCCTCTCTTTTAAATTTTAAAATCGTCGATAATTTGAAAGCGAAAGTTAAATGTAAAGGGCATTCATAATTTGAGTCCATTCTTATGGAAGCTTGCTCTGCTCGCTTTTTACATAGGATAAAGGTGTTTGCATATGAAGGCTTTTCAGTCTGATTAAAGGAGAACTCTGGCGAACAATGAACCTTTGGTCTAATAATACATCGGTACATAGTCAATCGTTCTCTGAGATTTGTTTTCATGATAATCGAATATAAAGAGTTTTATCTCTAAAAACTGTTTAGCGTATAATGCTAGTAATGGGGGCATTGAGTAAGTAAAAAGAAATCGCTAGTTTATACCACTAACAAGGCTCAAAATAGCCCCACACTAACGCAGTAACATAATGAGGCTCCATACATGCAAAACGAAGCATTGAGAACTTTGTAAGTGTACAGACCGTTTAATAAGAAGATACTTTATGAAGACAGTTCACTGTTAATGTATGCAGACAGAAGCCATCTTAGAAAATAAGTCTCGATAAGTCAAACCACGAACGTCGTGCTGAGTGATCTGAACTGTATGAAGTTCATCGAACTTCTGAACTGTATGAACGGCGTTCGTGGTTTGACTTATCGAGACTTTTTTAAGATGGCTCCTGTCTGTATACACAAAGTGAACCGTCTTCATAAAGTATCTTCTTATTAAACGGTCTGTACACTTACAAAGTTCTCAATGCTTCGTTTTGCATGTATGGAGCCTCATTATGTTACTGTGTTAGCGTGGGGCTATTTTGAGCCTTGTTAGTGGTATAAACTAGCGATTTCTTTTTACTTAGTCAATGCCCCCATTACTAGCATTATACGCTAAACAGTTTTTAGAGATAAAACTCTTTACATTCGATTATCATGAAAATAAATCTCATGATCTCAAATCTCATCAAAGAGAACGATTGACTAGGTACCAATGTTTTATTAGACCAAAGGTTCATTGTTCGCCGGAGTTCTCCTTTAAGCCGTCAGTCTGATTTCTAATGGATTATTTGGTTGCATGTAAACGTAACCATTGTCATTTGTTATTGATAAGTTATTTTGCTTAGAGCTGCCATCAACATTTTATTCTCATCAATCACTCAGTGAAATATAATTTAGGCTATGTAATTAATAAATTATGTGATAAATCATTTTGACTGCAAAATATCAGTGAATCAAAAAAATCGCATCCCCTTTATTTGAAATCAGATGTCCTTATTTGTGTCAGATCAACTGCCCAAAATGTTTTATTACACTTAAGAACTTTAGTGTAACAAGCAGTAAGAAGCTGCAAATCACATGTAACTTGTAAATTTAAAAAAAATACTTGAACAGTACTTTTTTTTAAATAGTTGCCAATTTATATCTTTTAATGATCAATTAAATGCAGCAGTTCTACCTATTTCTAATGAACTTTTTGATATTTCTTGTTTACTTTTTTAAGATGAAAGACATTGATCTTCAAGATTCTGGTGAGCTCTTTGATTCTACACCAGAGAGTTCAGATAATTATGTTCCAGATACCACTTCCGACAGTGACTGTGACAGTGATGTTAGCCTTACACTGAACCCAACAAAACGTCAGCTTCTTGATCAACTGGATATGAATGAATCTGCCTCTGTAAGCTCCCCTGACTGTGACTCAACAACGTCAGACAATATGCACAGCGTTACGTCTAAAGCATCTGGAACAGTAGAAGAGCCCAGTTCAAGTCAGAACACAATAGACTGCGTAGTTGTTAATGCATACCATAAAAGAGATGGTGGTAGAGTGTATAACAAGAGACATTACTGCTTGTATTGCTCCAAACCTTACGCTAAGATGGCAAGGCATCTAGAAAGTTCACATGCAAATACATCTGATGTGGCTAGAGCTCTAAGCTTTCCAAAATGTTCAAAGGAGAGAAAAAAACAGTTGGATTATATTCGCAACAAAGGGAACTATGCCCACAATGCTGCGGTTATGGAATCAGGAAAGGGGGAACTGGTGCCATTTAAACGACCACCTAAAAAAGCACTGGGAGAGGATTTCATGCATTGTGCATACTGTCAAGGACTTTTTACGAGAAAGGTCCTTTGGCGACATATGCGTTCTTGCAGACTTAAACCTCAGTCAGTCCCCCCCAAACCAGGAAAAAACCGTGTTCAGTCCATGTGTACATACACGGGGCCTGTGCCTTCAAACATGACCAAACAACTGTGGGGAGTAATCAGTGCCATGAATCCTGACCCAATCACAGATATTATAAAAAATGACAAAGTAATTACTGAAATTGGGCAGCACTTGTTGAACAAAGGAGGGATATCAGCCAAAAATCAACAGTATGTGCGGGAGAAGATGCGAGAATTGGGACGGTTGATTCACAAGGCGAGGAGAGTCACCTCGTTAAAAACGATGGAAGATTGTGTAAATCCAAAGAAGTACATGGAGACTGTCAAAGCTGTGAAGTATACGTGTGGGTATGACAGTGAAACAGACAAGTTCATGATTCCATCGCTTGCAAATAAGCTTGGGAATTCCCTGGTTAAAGTGAGCAAACTCTTAAAAGCTCAGGGATTAATCTCAAATGACAAACAGCTTGTTAAGAATGCCAGTGAGTTTCTAGAAGTCCATCAGAACAAGTGGAACGAGTTGATCTCGGCTACAGCATTGAGGAACATCAGTGAAGCAAAGTGGAATGTGCCCACTATCATGCCCTTTACTGAAGACGTCCAGAAAATGCACACACATCTCAGTGAAGTGCAAGAGAAGTGGTTCAAAACACTCTCTGGAAGTCCCTCTACTAAAACCTGGATGGAGCTGGCAAAGGTGTGTCTAGCCCAGATGATTCTCTTTAACCGCCGCAGGGAAGGAGAGGTTTCGAGTATGCCTTTGTCTGCATTTCTTTCAAGAGACACTTCTCATCCACATGAGGATGTGGACTGGGCACTTTCTGAAGTGGAAAAAAAACTCTGCAGACACTTCACAAGGGTTATCACAAGAGGAAAGCGTGGTCGACCAGTTCCAATTCTTCTGACTCCAAAAATGCTATGTGCCTTAGAACTCCTTGTTAAGCAGAGAGAGGTTTGTGGGGTTCTGAAAGACAATCCCTATATGTTTGCAAGACCAGAAGCCATGACACATTTTCGAGGGTCAGACTGCCTCCGTGGCTTTGCTAAGGTGTGTGGCGCAAAGTGTCCCAAGTCACTGACATCTACAAGGCTGCGAAAGCATGCCGCAACGCTTTCAACAGTGCTGAATATGACTGACACCGAGATGGACCAGCTGGCAAACTTCCTTGGACACGACATAAGAATCCATCGTGAGTTCTATCGACTCCCTGAGAAGACCTTGCAACTTGCCAAGATCAGCAAAGTTCTAATGGCACTTGAACAAGGAAGATTAGCTGAGTTCCATGGCAAGAACTTGGATGAAATTGGGATAGATCCTGATGGTGTGGTATTTTATTTGACGTTTGTTTGATTTTTCTGTTTACCATCTATTCAAATACCATGTTTACGATCTATTATATGCCATTAAGCTTTACTTTGAACTTCCACAGAAAAAGTTCTTAACTCTGATGAGGAAGACGAGAGCATAACAGAGGGACTCTGTTCATCTACTGTTGACGGTTTGTATTACTTTCAAAATACACTACTAGATTTTGCAGTTATTCATAGGTTTCAGTCACTTTACTTGTGAAGACCTGACATGCAAAAACAATGTTCTAACATCAAAGCCAACATTAAAGAAGATTCTTCAGTATGCTGAACAAAAGCTTTTTTCTTTTTTATTAACGAAACTGCTCATTGTGTAATGAATCAAATGCCTCCAAGCTATTCTTCAAAATGTCTTGCACTAAACATTTATTTTGGAGTGAATATTTTTTGTGGACTTTACTACCATAAAAATTGTTTCATAAGAGAAACGTGCACATTTTTCGTAAAATGCTAGCTGATCCGTTCTCTTCTCGTGTTTGTTGTGTTATGGCACTAAATGAACCATGTCAGATTATCAAGTAATTAACCATTTTATTTCATGTCTTAGTTTGCTTGAGCTTATGTTTGATTAAATGTCTGCTGGAAAGATGCAGTTCAATTATACTTGCAATAATGAAAAATTACACAGGTTTTAAGAGTTTATTGTACTTTAATGATTTAAAATAATCCGTGCATAAGTGTGACTAAACACATTGTGTATTGTCTTGTTGGAAAATTTTCCTTCGAACCAACAGACATTGGGATATCTTTCAAGCAGGATTCTTTACTGAGAACTCACTGTCCTGTTTATATACCTTTCAAGGGGGAGGGATTTACATAGAGGTGGAGACACTCTGAAACAAAGCATGTAAATGAAGTACGGAAGTCAGTTCATTACTAGAATTCCCCATCCCTGATCTCATTAGCATAACAGTGTCATTCAGATACATGGGTGATAATCCATTCAGCCTGACTATTCAACGACTGGAACGGGCTCCTAGAGCCATTTAAAAGACGGTCTCAGTAATTTGACTTGTTTAACCTACAATAGAGAAACAGGACTGGCAGGAATCTTTGGCTGGAAACTCTTGAGGAAACTCAATTGTCAGCATTTTATAGTAAATTTTAAAATGTATATCTTTCTGAAAACATTGAACTTTGATTATTTTCCATAGAACCATCTTCAGAGGTGGCACTTCCTCCTACCGAGAGGAGTGACATGCCGCCACCACCCAAGAGACGCAGACTACCAGCAGATGAAGAGATGCCTACAGAAGCCAGTGCTGTGAGGCCTTCTTCCAAAGGTGAAATCTTTACACGTTTCTAAAACTAAATTAGACAATTTAGGAGCACTTTGATACCCGATTTCAGACCAGATCACTAAATGCTGATTTTGTTTTTTTTGGCCATTTCCTGTTTTCCTGCATTTTGAGACGTTTCCGCCAAATCTTTAGTGATTTGAAAACTTGCAACTTAATTGTTCCTCTACACCAGTCCTTAGGTCTTTACACTGGCTCCCAGTTACATTTAGGATTGATTTTAAAGTATTATCACTGTTATATAAATCATTACATTAATGGTTAGGACCTCAATATATTGTAGATATGCTCACTGAATATAAACCCAACAGATCACTTAGATCACTAGGATCACATCAGCTAGAAATACCAAGGGTTCACTCTAAGCATGGAGAGTNACTGTATGAACGTCGTTCGGGGATCGACTTATCGAGACTTTTTTTAAGATGGCTCCTGTCTGTATACACAAAGTGAACGTCTTCATAAAAGTATCTTCTTATTAAACGGTCTTACACTTACAAAGTTCTCAATGCTTCGTTTTGCATGTATGGAGCCTCATTATGTTACTGTGTTAGAGTGGGGCTATTTTGAGCCTTGTTAGTGGTATAAACTAGCGATTTCTTTTTACTTGGTCAATGCCCCCATTACTAGCATTATACGCTAAACAGTTTTAGAGATAAAACTCTTTACATTCGATTATCATGAAAATAAATCTCATGATCTCAAATCTCATCAAAGAGAACGATTGACTAGGTACCGATGTTTTATTAGACCAAAGGTTCATTGTTCGCCGAGTTCTCCTTTAAGCCGTCAGTCTGATTTCTAATGGATTATTTGGTTGCATGTAAACGTAACTATTGTCATTTGTTATTGATAAGTTATTTTGCTTAGAGCTGCCATCAACATTTTATTCTCATCAATCACTCAGTGAAATATAATTTAGGCTATGTAATTAATAAATTATGTGATAAATCATTTTGACTGCAAAATATCAGTGAATCAAAAAAATTGCATCCCCTTTATTTGAAATCAGATGTCCTTATTTGTCAGATCAACTGCCCAAAATGTTTTATTACACTTAAGAACTTTAGTGTAACAAGCAGTAAGAAGCTGCAAATCACATGTAACTTGTAAATTTAAAAATACTTGAACAGTACTTTTTTTTTTTAAATAGTTGCCAATTTATATCTTTTAATGATCAATTAAATGCAGCAGTTCTACCTATTTCTAATGAACTTTTTGATGTTTCTTGTTTACTTTTTTAAGATAAAAGACATTGATCTTCAAGATTCTGGTGAGCTCTTTGATTCTACACCAGAGAGTTCAGATAATTATGTTCCAGATACCACTTCCGACAGTGACTGTGACAGTGATGTTAGCCTTACACTGAACCCAACAAAACGTCAGCTTCTTGATCAACTGGATATGAATGAATCTGCCTCTGTAAGCTCCCCTGACTGTGACTCAACAACGTCAGACAATATGCACAGCGTTACGTCTAAAGCATCTGGAACAGTAGAAGAGCCCAGTTCAAGTCAGAACACAATAGACTGCGTAGTTGTTAATGCATACCATAAAAGAGATGGTGGTAGAGTGTATAACAAGAGACATTACTGCTTGTATTGCTCCAAACCTTACGCTAAGATGGCAAGGCATCTAGAAAGTTCACATGCAAATACATCTGATGTGGCTAGAGCTCTAAGCTTTCCAAAATGTTCAAAGGAGAGAAAAAACAGTTGGATTATATTCGCAACAAAGGGAACTATGCCCACAATGCTGCGGTTATGGAATCAGGAAAGGGGGAACTGGTGCCATTTAAACGACCACCTAAAAAAGCACTGGGAGAGGATTTCATGCATTGTGCATACTGTCAAGGACTTTTTACGAGAAAGGTCCTTTGGCGACATATGCGTTCTTGCAGACTTAAACCTCAGTCAGTCCCCCCAAACCAGGAAAAAACCGTGTTCAGTCCATGTGTACATACACGGGGCCTGTGCCTTCAAACATGACCAAACAACTGTGGGGAGTAATCAGTGCCATGAATCCTGACCCAATCACAGATATTATAAAAATGACAAAGTAATTACTGAAATTGGGCAGCACTTGTTGAACAAAGGAGGGATATCAGCCAAAAATCAACAGTATGTGCGGGAGAAGATGCGAGAATTGGGACGGTTGATTCACAAGGCGAGGAGAGTCACCTCGTTAAAAACGATGGAAGATTGTGTAAATCCAAAGAAGTACATGGAGACTGTCAAAGCTGTGAAGTATACGTGTGGGTATGACAGTGAAACAGACAAGTTCATGATTCCATCGCTTGCAAATAAGCTTGGGAATTCCCTGGTTAAAGTGAGCAAACTCTTAAAAGCTCAGGGATTAATCTCAAATGACAAACAGCTTGTTAAGAATGCCAGTGAGTTTCTAGAAGTCCATCAGAACAAGTGGAACGAGTTGATCTCGGCTACAGCATTGAGGAACATCAGTGAAGCAAAGTGGAATGTGCCCACTATCATGCCCTTTACTGAAGACGTCCAGAAAATGCACACACATCTCAGTGAAGTGCAAGAGAAGTGGTTCAAAACACTCTCTGGAAGTCCCTCTACTAAAACCTGGATGGAGCTGGCAAAGGTGTGTCTAGCCCAGATGATTCTCTTTAACCGCCGCAGGGAAGGAGAGGTTTCGAGTATGCCTTTGTCTGCATTTCTTTCAAGAGACACTTCTCATCCACATGAGGATGTGGACTGGGCACTTTCTGAAGTGGAAAAAAAACTCTGCAGACACTTCACAAGGGTTATCACAAGAGGAAAGCGTGGTCGACCAGTTCCAATTCTTCTGACTCCAAAAATGCTATGTGCCTTAGAACTCCTTGTTAAGCAGAGAGAGGTTTGTGGGGTTCTGAAAGACAATCCCTATATGTTTGCAAGACCAGAAGCCATGACACATTTTCGAGGGTCAGACTGCCTCCGTGGCTTTGCTAAGGTGTGTGGCGCAAAGTGTCCCAAGTCACTGACATCTACAAGACTGCGAAAGCATGCCGCAACGCTTTCAACAGTGCTGAATATGACAGACACCGAGATGGACCAGCTGGCAAACTTCCTTGGACACGACATAAGAATCCATCGTGAGTTCTATCGACTCCCTGAGAAGACCTTGCAACTTGCCAAGATCAGCAAAGTTCTAATGGCACTTGAACAAGGAAGATTAGCTGAGTTCCATGGCAAGAACTTGGATGAAATTGGGATAGATCCTGATGGTGTGGTATTTTATTTGACGTTTGTTTGATTTTTCTGTTTACCATCTATTCAAATACCATATGTTTACGATCTATTATATGCCATTAAGCTTTACTTTGAACTTCCACAGAAAAAGTTCTTAACTCTGATGAGGAAGACGAGAGCATAACAGAGGGACTCTGTTCATCTACTGTTGACGGTTTGTATTACTTTCAAAATACACTACTAGATTTTGCAGTTATTCATAGGTTTCAGTCACTTTACTTGTGAAGACCTGACATGCAAAAACAATGTTCTAACATCAAAGCCAACATTAAAGAAGATTCTTCAGTATGCTGAACAAAAGCTTTTTTTATTAACGAAACTGCTCATTGTGTAATGAATCAAATGCCTCCAAGCTATTCTTCAAAATGTCTTGCACTAAACATTTATTTTGGAGTGAATATTTTTTGTGGACTTTACTACCATAAAAATTATGTTTCATAAGAGAAACGTGCACATTTTTCGTAAAATGCTAGCTGACCCGTTCTCTTCTCGTGTTTGTTGTGTTATGGCACTAAATGAACCATGTCAGATTATCAAGTAATTAACCATTTTATTTCATGTCTTAGTTTGCTTGAGCTTATGTTTGATTAAATGTCTGCTGGAAAGATGCAGTTCAATTATACTTGCAATAATGAAAAATTACACAGGTTTAAGAGTTAATTGTACTTTAATGATTTAAAATAATCAGTGCATAAGTGTGACTAAACACATTGTGTATTGTCTGTTGGAAAATTTTCCTTCGAACCAACAGACATTGGGATATCTTTCAAGCAGGATTCTTTACTGAGAACTCACTGTCCTGTTTATATACCTTTCAAGGGGAGGGATTTACATAGAGGTGGAGACACTCTGAAACAAAGCATGTAAACGAAGTACGGAAGTCAGTTCATTACTAGAAATTCCCCATCCCTGATCTCATTAGCATAACAGTGTCATTCAGATACATGGGTGATAATCCATTCAGCCTGACTATTCAACGACTGGAACGGGCTCCTAGAGCCATTTAAAGAGTAATTTGACTTGTTTAACCTACAATAGAGAAACAGGACTGGCAGGAATCTTTGGCTGGAAACTCTTGAGGAAACTCAATTGTCAGCATTTTATAGTAAATTTTAAAATGTATATCTTTCTGAAAACATTGAACTTTGATTATTTTCCATAGAACCATCTTCAGAGGTGGCACTTCCTCCTACCGAGAGGAGTGACATGCCGCCACCACCCAAGAGACGCAGACTACCAGCAGATGAAGAGATGCCTACAGAAGCCAGTGCTGTGAGGCCTTCTTCCAAAGGTGAAATCTTTACACGTTTCTAAAACTAAATTAGACAATTTAGGAGCACTTTGATACCCAGATTTCAGACCAGATCACTAAATGCTGATTTTGTTTTTTTGCCATTTCCTGTTTTCTGCCATTTTGAGACGTTTCCGCCAAATCTTTAGTGATTTGAAAACTTGCAACTTAATTGTTCCTCTACACCAGTCCTTAGGTCTTTACACTGGCTCCCAGTTACATTTAGGATTGATTTTAAAGTATTATCACTGTTATATAAATCATTTAATGGGTTAGGACCTCAATATATTGTAGATATGCTCACTGAATATAAACCCAACAGATCACTTAGATCACTAGGATCACATCAGCTAGAAATACCAAGGGTTCACTCTAAGCATGGAGAGTCTGCTTTAGCTATTATGCTGGAACCAGCTTCCAGAGGAGATCAGGTGTGCTCCTACAGTTGTCACATTCAAATCCAGACTCAAAACACATCTGTTTAGCTGTGCATTTACTGAATAAGCACTGTGCCACTGTTCGTACGACTGTTACTGTATTTTATTTAATGTTCTTATTCTAAACTGTTTTAATTATTTACTGTATTTTATTTTTTATTCTAAATTGTTTTAATTATTCTGATTTATTTTGATTATTTGTATTTCTTCTATGCAAAGCACTTTGAGTTACCATTGTGTATGAAAGGTGCTATATAAAAAAACTTGCCTTGCACATGAATTTCAATATCATAATGCTCAGGAACCCTTCTGTAGTTTAGTTGTCTTGGGCGGTGAGAAGTTGAAATCAGGTCAACTTTTATGGTAATGAGCTATGACGTGGTTCTGCGGCACCCAATTGTAATGTAGAAGTGCTCTGCTTTAGAGGATTCCAGAGAATGCAGTCAAGTAACTTTGGTTCCGTCCACATTATTTCCCAAGCACAATAGGAGAGATTGATCATTTGAATTTGATAAGAAGGCGCGCAACACTGTCTATAGGCTTGATTTTCGTGCTAGAACACTTGTTTATCAGTGGGAATGTAAAGTTGAATAGCACTTAACCATTAACACAAAAGCCACACCACATAAATGGCTTTTAATTGGTTTATTTCATTCGCAAACATGTCACTATAATAAAGTTATTTCCTTTGATCAATGTTCTGCAAAAATAACTAATTGACATGCTTGTTTGCTTTTGCGGCCCCTTTAAATGGTTTAAAAAAAGACCAAGCATTCGATTTATGTCAGAGTGTCCACGAATCTTTCCACGGCCTCGCTGGCCTGACGGCCAGAGCGATATTTTTTTTTTCCTCCCCCCCGAGCTTTCTATAGTGAATTATCGTGTGTGTGAGTTGAGTATATGCTGAGTTTCGGCTCATTTCTGTTGTGTACCGAGACATAATGAAAACAATCAGGATGTGTATGAATAAAATGACAAGAGTATTGTAAGTAAAATGATTGTGCTGGTGCCTGTATGTCCTGCAGTAAAGTGTCTCCACACACGCACACAGATATGAGTCTAATGTTAATCTGATAAATGTCTTATTAGAGTGAGTGACTTGTAAAGTTACTACTACTTGCATGTTTCAAGTGATGAGCCATATTTAAGGTCATTGACTGATAGGCGAATGTTTGGATTTCATTCAGACTGCCGTTATTGATTTGTCTGTCAAAGCCTGCGTGATAACCTGCAAGCTTTTTTTTTCTTCCTGCGACTAACTAATAAAATCGTAGTTGATTATTAGAGGGCAGACCTAATAAATACTGATTATAGGATTTAGAACTACAGATTGTAATTGCAGCACACACACTTTTATCATTTCAATAGTTTTTTTTCTGTCCACTTAGGTAAAAGTACCCAGAAGACACCCTGGCAGCAGACAGAGGTGCAGGCGGTGGAAAGGCACATGCAGCGATTCATCACATCGCTCACTGTACCAGCAAAGAGCGACTGTGAAAAGTGCTTGAAAGCTGAACCAGGAGCACTGAAGAACCGTGATTGGAAGAATGTAAAATTTTACATTTATAATCGTATTACAGCTTACAAAAAGAAATTCCAGTGCAAATAATAATAATGTGAACATCATGGCAGGTTTTGTTCAAAGATTTTAAAGGGTTAAAGATGTTTTAAGGTTTACTATCCCTTTAAAACTACAGAAACACTTGTAGGCTATAGAATACTTTTGTTTGCCATATGTTTTATGATGACTGTGATGGCCACCAGTCGGAAAACATTGATCAAACAACATTTCAAATAGAGTGTCATGTTTGCAGTACAGTATGTTTATGATGACCGTGATGACCACCAGTCGGAAAGCATTGGTTGGACAAAGTTAATTTAAAGTCGTAGTTTGTTTAAATTCACATGTATGTGAAAGGAAGCATGTGTGAAAGTTATTTTATTTTATATACTTTTAATATCAGGACCTTGTTTTTAGGTATGACTTCATTTTGAGTTTTGTGAAGCTGAGTTCAATAAAAGTTGAATTCCGCAATCGTAATGTGAATTAATGTATTGAAGCTCAATTAGTAGTATGTGTCTCAAATAAGTGTCAGGTGAATGAGAAGCAGCTGATGCTTGGAGGAGGTTGACTGAAAAATTACAATAATAGAAAGGATAATTTGTGGGTATGAAATGGGTCACTAGCACCATATGCGGGCCTTACTATATCTCCACATTAAGTAATCAAAGTTGTTCTACTGCATATTTTAATTCTCCTTGCTTGTAGATTAAACCCATTTTTAAGGGCAACTGGATAAATGAAATCTGAAGATTTGCTAGTGTAAATGCCTATTATTTTTCTATCTAGGTCCCCACAAATCAACTGGGAGGTTGTGTGAATTATGCAAATTGGGTCCCCACAAATCGAAAGGGAGGTGTGAATTATGCAAAGTGGGTCCCTATGAGACATGTCCACTCGATTTTTCAAATGTCCCCATTGTGCATGATCAAATCATTACTTCATCAATTCAGATATTTGAAGGCGTGTATAAGTTGTCAAAGTTATGGTAAGTATCCCTAATTTTTTTTATACTTCTAAACCCTTTAGAAAGGGTGGTCCCCACAGGTGATGGTCATAAAGTTGGTCCCCATCCAACATGGAAACCAGTATGTGTGTGTGTGTGTGTGTGTGTGTGTGTGTGTGTGTGTGTGTGTGTGTGTGTGTGTGTGTGTGTGTGTGTGTGTATGTGTATGTGTGTGTGACATTCTGGCCAGTTCTCTTCATCTGTCTTGTGGCAGCAGGAAATGAGTAGATTTCCCTTTAAACCATGTGATTTACTTTTTGTAAATCTACACTATACTAAATTCTATACATGTACACACATATATGCATGCACACACACACTCAAATGCATGTTGACAGCAGAAAAGAGATGGACTAATATATCGAGTACACACACACACACACACACACACCTGTCTATTATCACCCATCTAACCTTACAACACTTCATTTCACTAATAAATGACTGACAGAGAGAAGGGATGGACTAATATATCACACACACACACACACTCACACACACACACATTCCCTCCTGCCCCTGAGGAAGAAGGAATAAACATTTCATTTCCCCTGGCCAGCATACAGGACGTTTTATATGATGTAAGAAAGAGTGAGTGTATCCAAGTGTGGGGCTGGACAGAGATTAGGTGATTAAATCGTTGGCACACTAGCGCCATTGGTTTCATTGGTTCTTATGTAAGAGGTGCAGAAGTCTTGTATTCTTTTTAATAAAACTCCATAGGTATGACTATTGAAATTCAGTATTGTTAATTGCAATATGGATTTCTTTATGAGCTATTATAGGCAATTATAATGCAAATAAAACTGCATAAATTAGCATTGTTACCAAAAACCTAGTAGCTACCTTGCTGATCTGGAACGCTCTATATTACCACTACAAGAACAGACTAGAGTTTCTCATGTCAAGCACACAAAAGACTCAACTGTGTCGTTCACACTACTGCGTTTTCGTTCAAAAATGGGGAATTAAAACGAATACGATCTCCATCCACACCAACGTTTTATCTGCGTATTATAATTGATCTCTGTCCACATTAAAACGACTAAAAACGCGGATCACGTGACCATTCACCAACACTGGGCATACATGTGCCGGTGTAAACAGTGGCTGACGAATCAGGAAAGGATGTCATCACTGATGACACCCAATCATAGAGCCGAGCGTCAGCGTTTCTAAAACTCCTCCATTTCCCTCTGGAGATTCAAAACGCAATACAGAGCTGCAGCATTTCTAAACTTCTCCGTTTTAGGTCTTCGTTTTTTCCGTTTTAGTCTGGACGGGAGGTGCAAACGTAGCAAAAGGTCTCCGTTTTTAAACGAAAATGCAGTAGTGTGGATGGGGCCTGAGTTGATTTGAAAAAGATTAGCACATGCTGCTCAGCTAAGAACATAGCATCTCTAAAAAATACATAGCACATACAAAAACTGGATGTGTTTTTTGACAATAGTGACCTACACTAAAAAATAAAGATCACAGCAATGCCATAGAACAACCAGTTCCCCAAAATCTTTCAGTGAACAGTTCTTAAAAAAATATGTATATATATGTTTCCTTAGTTTGAAGAATATTTAAATAATCTAAAGAACATTTTTCCTCTATGAAGAACTATTTGTGCAATGGAATGGTTGCATTGATGTTGAAAGTTCTTAATGGAACCATTGATGCCAATAAAGAACGTTTCATTTTAAGAGTATATTTTTGATCATATTTCTAGTCAACATTTTTTACAACTCATTCTAGGATTGCCTTGTGTTTGAAGAATAAGTATCTTTAGATATCTTTGAAAGCATCCTGTTTAGAAGCCTATAATTTAAGGGTCACTGGACGATCTGCAGGGAAAACACTGAAGTCATCCTCCACTGCTGCTCTGTGCTTTAATACTAGCAATAAAATACATTTCAGGCACTTTTACATAATTTAGCCATTTAGCCATATAATCCTGTTCCTACAACTTTCTATAGACCTGGCACTTTCTAGCAGGATACAGCAAACAGGCCACAACGGTTTTAGTAAAACCTTTTCTAGTCAAAACCTTTTCTTTTTCTTTTTCTACAGTGTTTTTGGCAACAATAATATTTTGGTAACTAACAATAGGTGTTGCAATCAAAGTTGCAATTAATGAGAAAAACACGGAATAGGCCTATCAAAAACGATTTTAAAAAAAGGTTTGAAAATAGTAAAAAGCACAATAGAAATACAAAATAGAAAGGATAGTGATTAATCAAAAATGAAATCCCAATATGGCTGAGTGTTAAAAAAAACAGATATACAGATATAAAGATGGTTCACTCATATTACTTATGAATGGGAGAAACTGCACTGTGCAGTATGGAATTACATATAGAATATAGCAATATAGAATAAGTCCAGCCTTCTGAAGTAAAAGAGCCAATCACTAATTGGTAAAGTCATTGCTCACTTCAGCTGCCGTTAAGCTCCGGTTTCCAACCTGAGACTCAGGACTTCACATGCGCATTTATTTTTAAAGCGCGAAAGTTTTGGGCGAGAATTTCAGACTCAGTGCGCAAGGACCTTAAGACTGAAAATACGCTGTTTTTAATGCTATTAAAAAAGAAAATACATTTACGGGACAGTTCATGTCAATTTTTTTTGAAATATTTTATTTAATTTTGAGTTCAGCAAGCAGTTTTTTTAAGATTTCAGGATTCCCCCATTCAAATAAACAGGACTTGGTCTTGGGTGTCTGAAATAGCTGTCCGGAGGCATTGCAAATATGGCCGCCGAGTGAACAGACTTCCCTTTAAGGGAATTTGGCAGGAATAAATATCCCAAAAAAAAGTTTATTTTAATATAATTACAGCGTTTGTGGCCAGATTGGGCAGCCCAACAAACAAACGCAGCATAACAATCTTTATCAAAAGGAAAAAAAAATTGCGGATTTTTTTTCCTCCAAATCTTGCAACCCTAAATTCACCTTAAACCCTAAGTGAATTATTCAGTCACATTGTTTTTTTTTTTTTCAACAAATGCATTAAATACATTTATTTAATCACAATTTATGCACTTCTTACAAAATGCAAAAAAATTATAATTTTCTTATCAAGCACATTTAATTTTGATTATTTATACAGTACTCATTGAAACTCTAGTAACTGTTTATACAGAGTGCCATAAGAGGCAGATCTGTAGCGGACGGTAAACTATAGACTGAGCTCTGGAGCTGCGATGCAGAAATGCAGGAAGGAGGTGCAGATTTTGCATGGTGAATTGAAAGAAGGCCTTTAGGTTGGTCAAACCTAGCAGTCTCTCTGACCCGTGGGCATTAGACTAGCACAGCTGGTCAGTAAGAGGAATGTTTACCCATTCCATACATTTACTCAGGAAATGAAGTACCTAAGGCCTTCGTACCCAGCAGCACTCGTTCACTCACAAACACACACACACACACATGTGCTGCGTCTCATGTCGGCTGCAGCCATCCTGCTTGTAGCAGCTCATGTTTACTTGTGGTTTGGCGAAATGTTTCATGCCAGGTCTCTGTGCCATCCTCCTACGTTTCGGGCATGAATAGATGCACAGCAGGCATGCAAATATTATATTTGTATACACATATTAAAATGAAGTCAAACTTGTAAACAAAAAATAAACATTTCGTTTGCGGAAAGCTGTATTTAGTGTGCGTGCGAGTGTGTCCGTGGAACAGCAGTCACGGCCATATTTGGATTATGAAGAAAGGTGTTTTAGACGGAGATGCTTAGCCTGTGTAATTATCATAGCTTGTGTTTATGCATGTGATTGTGTGTTTAAGCTAGTTATACTCTGGGGATAATTTTGCAGAGAAATCTCTCCAGAAAGTTGCTAAATATAACCCCCATTTAGGAAAAAGGTTCAAATAAAACCTAAATTAAAGTGGATTTGACATTTTATGAAGAAGAATGTGATAACTGTGCCTAACTGGCAGAACCCCATGCCAGGGTGTTGCGGCTGATCACTAGGACGTTGTAAAGAAGTTTCTAGGGGCTTGTAAACAAGCCAACATTCATATCAAACCGTTACTCATTACTCACAGAGGTTTAAGAACATACACAATGAGATGTTTGGGAAAAAACAAACTAATTTGACTAATTATTAAAATAAATCAATATGCAATAGACATAATAAATCATTGTCCTAAACAAAGCCAAATTGTATAGGAGTTTCTGTTTAGAATGGTATACTAGGGAACATTAATAATGCATGAATTTTTGTAGCACGAACCTCACTGAGGTTTAAGAAAACACATAAATAGATGTTCGGCTAAAATAAATAAATAAATACATATATTGTACCATGGTTACTTATTGCACACAACACAAAAATAACAGTGATGTATGATTAATGTGAAATGAAATAAAATGTTATACTGTAAATAACTTTATTTTCTTATTCTGAAAATTAAACGTGTTATGTTAAAGTTGAGGTTTGACTATAACCGTATAATTAACTTTATCTGAAGCAATAGAAA